TGGCCCTGGCTCTGCCACCTTGGAACTAGCTGTCCTCGGGTTGTACAGGGCTCTCAATGCCCAGTGTCCGGGCACTGGGAGGAGGTCATGGGTGTGGCAAATGACATCCGGGCACCTCTCCAACTGCACCCCAAGTTCTCTCCCAGTGAAAGGGGCTTGGCTACCTCGCTCCACCTTGAGGTAGGGACTGGGCCTCAGAGGCCACAGAGCTGGCTCTTTGTTAATTCCCACCTCCCTCCCTCCGGCCGCCTTGCTCGCCAGGAGGCCACTCTGAGGCTGAGCTCTGGCGACTAATCAGCCGGCGTCCCTGCTGCTTGGTGGCTGCTTCAATCAGGGCGACACAGCGGGCGGCATTAATAGCTGCCCCCCTTCCCCTGCTCCCGCCTGTGGGGCCCACAAGTGGCCAGAGAGGAGCTTCTCTCAGATGGTCAGGAGAGGGTGTGGGCATCTGAGTGGGTGTGCTGAGCACACTCTGACATGCCCTGAGCCCAGACCGGTACCTGGAGTGTGGCCAGCTGCCTGCTCTGTCCCTGGACCACCAGCCTCAGGGTCTGGAGGAGGGGGGGAGCAGCGGTCCTCAGCTGACTGGGACCCCGAGCTCAGCCCTTCTCTGCAGCTGGACCCGAGTGCTGACAGGGGCCGTGGGGGCGGTCAGGGGGCTGGGAAGGCCGGCAGTTCCTTCAGGCTGGATAGGGATGTGCTGCTGCCACTGAGAGGGGCCGCTGAGTCCGTTCTGAATCACGGCGAGGGCTGCAGTCACCTTCATGGGAGCCGACGGCCACCTCTTGCTCTTGGGGGACACCTGGGAACTGAACTGCTGACCTTCTGAGCAGTGGCTAGGTGCTGAAAGGCTGCGGCACCTGGGCTCCTTGGAGCAGGCGGGCATGCACGTCACCTTTCTGGGCATGGTCGCATGTTGATGATGGGGCCGTGGGCAAACTCCATGCGGAAGATGGGGCTGGCACTGAGCACTACATCAGAGAGGCCGTGACAGCCCATTGGAGGGACGCTCGCTGGCATCCAAAGATGGGACCATTGGTAGCACCTTGACGGGCGGGGGTGGGGTGTCAGGTGCTGCCACCTGGGGGAGACCTCCTTGGGGCAGGCCTATAAGGGGCAGGGCAGGGCAGGGCAGGAGCTCCTCTCTCGCAGGGCCCTGACAGCCGTTCTCCGGGCACTGTTTAGCCGCTGGTTCTCCTAGGATCCTTGTTTCACAAGCAACAACCAGATTGTATGGGACATCGGTTTGGGGGTACGCCTCTCCTCATCCCTTATTTGTTCATAACTAGGCGGTCAGGGAGGCCACAAAGTGCCAGAGCACTTGGGCATGGATCAAGCACCAGAGCCCTGGGTTCAAGTCTCGTCTCCACGGCTGGTCAGCGGTGCCGGAGGCCACCTGACCTCCGGGCACATGCCTCTATGTATGTGGGGGGGAGGGGGACCGGGGGAGGGCGCTGAGAGCAGTGGATTGCTGTGTTCACTGAGACCGTCTTCACAGCACCAGAACGGGCCTCCGCACGTCTCAACACCGCCGTGGTGTGCAGCTTGGCAGTCTCTGATTCTTGGTCTTTCCGGCTCTCCAATTGAAATTCTGTCCGTTGCTCAGTTTAAATTCATTTCCGTTTCTTTGGGCCTCAGAAGTAGGACGCAGCACTACAGAATTCAAAGCTACTCACGAGTCGGGCTCCTGGGCCGACGCCCTCTGGATGCGACCTTCTTCAGATGCAGGGCAGGGAGCATCCACGGAGACAGCTAAGGACATTTACTAAGCCCCTCCCCGAGAGTGGCGCGGTGCGTGCGGACACAGCCGAGGTCCTCCCGGTAGGTCTAAGCTCCCCCCGGGCGCACTAGTTGGTGGAGCTGGGTGGAGGACCTTGTCCTGAGGTCCACAAAGCGACCCCCCGGCTTTGTGGGGCTGCAGTCACCTTCATGGGAGCCGACGGCCACCTCTTGCTCTTGGGGGACACCTGGGAACTGAGTCACCGACCTTCTGGACAGTGGCTGGGTGCTGAAAGGCTGCTGAAAGGTGGGTTGAGACCCACCGCAGGCTTCCTGGTCTCCTCCCGCTTCTGCATATTCTTCTAAAGAGCACATCCTGAGCTCAAAGAAAGGTGTGCTCCAAGGGAGCCCAAATGCCATCTTTTCGGGGAGGGGGGTCAGAGCTGTATCTCCACTCCCCCCACCCCATTCTCTTGTACTCCAAGCTCAAAGGCCAGTCTGTCCAGTTCACGAGTCTGTCAGCCAGGAAGTTCAGGCCCTACGCTCGGTACCCTCTGGTCACCCTGAGGTAGGTCCCCCGGCTCAGTTTCCCCACAGCAACAGAGAGGAGAACAAAGCCCTCCCCACCCAGCACTCAGGCTCCTTTGAAGCTGAGTCAAGGGTGAAGGTCCTGCCAAGAGTCTCACCAGGCCCCCTTCCTGGGAGTCAGCACGGGGCTGCTACTGGGTGGTCAGTCGCCGATCACGGGGCCTTTCTTTTGAGCTGCCTCTGGGAGGACAAGAGCCTTCAACCTCTCAGCTAGCTGCCAGGCAAGGACTCCCCTGGGCAGTCACCGGGGAAAAACGTTGACAAAGGTTCACAGCAGGGTCATGCAGAGGCGGGTGTGAGGATGGACTAATATCTCCCCTGTGTATACACTGCAGTTTCACGGGACTGTCGGACACATGCTCAGACATCCTGGTGGCACTATGGGCGAAGCGCTGGGCTGCTGACCACAAGGCTGGAGGCTCAGTTCACCAGGCAGTCGCTCAGCAGGAGACCCATGAGGCCGGCCTGTTCCCATCACGACTTACAGCCTCAGAAACTCACCGGGGGCCGTTCAACTCTGCCCTATAGGGCTGCTGTGAATCAGAATTGGGTTTGGTTTTGGGGACACCTGCTATGCAGCATGGAGGCACCTCAAAAACACGATGCTAAGAGAAGAAACCAGACAGACAGAAAGTGCTGGGCACATGCCCAGACCTGGCAAACCAGCAGGATGGCAGCAGACAGGCAGCGTCTGCTCAGGCTGGGGCGAGAGGAGACTGGGCAGGCATCACTTAGTGGGGGGGCGCTGGATTGGGGCTTGTGATGGTTACTTTGGGACTAGATATAGACGTCTGTCGGAGGTACAATGTCATGAAGTTACTACCGATGAAGTCAGGACAAAACTGAATGGCGAGTTTTCTGTGATGTGAATTTCACACTTGAAAAAATGAAAGCGTTGAACGCAGACAGAAAATGCACGAGGGCCACAGGTACACACCCAAGGCAGCCCCCAGCATGGGGTCTGCATGGGGCCTTTCCCCATGGCCCCAAGAGGATCCGGAGGCCAGGAGAGAGGGGCTCACCCTCACTCAGGCAGGCTGTCAAGAGGGGCCCGGCGTCGGGGTTCCTCGGCAGACTTCCTTGTACACCGCCCTGGTTTTAAACAACAGCGAGTAGGACGCTACCAAAGAGACAAGCACCAGCCGGAAAGCACCTATTTGGGGGGGGGGGCTGGGGGGGCCAGAAAAAGGCCAGCCCCACCCCTCCCCACGGGCTGTGCTCCCATACACAGCTCTCCCCAGCCGCTGATCACCCCAGGTGGGGTTGCCCACACAGTGTGCAGTGGGCAGCCTTCCCTCTCAGATGCACACAGTGGCAAAAAACAATCCCAACAATATGATTTTAGGGCCCCGGCGGGGGTGGGGTGGGGGTGGTGGGGTGGTGGAGGGGGGTGGATTAGTACGTCGAATCTTGAATCGGGCCCGTAGCACCACACGCTCAGCACCTTCTCTGATCTTATCCCCACTAAAAGCTCTGTTACTGAATGTAAAGTCGGGGACACACATCAGACCCGTACACAATGCATATCTATCTGAAGGCCGTGTTTCAGAAGCGGGGGTGGGGTGGGGTGGGGTGGGGGGAGCATCGACAAAAGCAAGAAACTATTCCAGCTAGGGCTGCAACAGAAACACAAATAGTCCCCCCTCCCTCTTCTCCTGGGGCTGGAGGCTCTGCTGGCCAACCGCAATGTGTGCCCTTCCATTTTCTGGAACGGACAAGGTAAGTAGATTGTCACCTGGACTTCATGGGAGGAGGAGGTGAAGGAGCCCAGGTTCGGCACATGTCATGGCGCCCTCTGGTGGTCATTTTTCAGGCCTTCCCCCCACCCCCCCCCCCCCCCCAACACTCACTGCCAGTTAGTCCATGCCCACTCCTGAGAGACAGACCCTAAAGGTCAGGGGGGACTGCCCACGACGGTGACTCTTTAGGGGAGTCGAAAGCCTGTCTTTCTTCCCAGGAGCTGCTGGTGGTTTTGCCCAACTTGCGACCTCTGTGCCAGCAGGCTCCCCTCGGCAGCCTCCATCATCCACCTCCTTTCCGAGGGCGACCCAGGAAGGCTGGGAAAGAACTTGAATGAGCCAGAGGACGGGCAGGAAACGGCTGCTCATGAATGAGCAGACAGCATTTTCCTTCACTGCAAGGGGAGGGCAGCGGGGAGAGGGGCGACTGTTCACCATCCGGCAGAGTGGTGCAGAGAGAGAATTTAGTGCCGCTAACTTCCCGTCTGAAAGCCCTGCCATCGGGCTGATTCGGACTCACGGTGACCCTACAGGTTCAGACAGACCTCGTCCCGTGGGTGGTTTTGAAGCTCCTTGTGGGGGTGGAAAGCCTCCTCCCTATCTGAAGCAGACCCTTGAAGCCTGCAGACCTCCAGACAAACCCGCCCCCTGCCCACCACCTGTGTTTGCACCGGGGCCTTCACATGTCTACATGGTGGAGACAAAAGCATTCGGTGACACAGGAACACGATACAAAGTTCAAATCCCACTGTCCACAGGTGGCGTATTAGCACACAGTGCCGCTCGTTCTTGTCCATTCTGACTCGAAAGAAAGTCTGCCCACCTCTGCCCGCTAGGGCCTGGCCCCTTCGAGTCTCGGCCCTAGGCCCACCCCTGACCACCTTCAGGTAAGGATGGCAATAGAGCCGGCTGCCTACAAGGCAAAAAAAGTGCGTGTGTCCACCACTGACTTACCATCTTATTATTGATTTCGTGGAAATGAATCTCGCAGACTTTCTCCACCACGTCTTCATTCTCAAAAGTGACAAAGCCAAAACCTACAGGGACAAGGGCGACAGACAAAGAGGAGAGGGTGAGTCCGTGTCTGGCCCACTCACGTGGTCCTGGCCACCCCCACAGGCCCCTGGGAAAGCCTGGGAAGGACCCCACCTCTGTGCCCAGCACCCTCCGAACATCAGGTCAGCCCTCCACCCTCGGGAGGGCACAGGAGGCTCACAGGTGCCCCAAAGCAAACCAGAGTTCTCCTCCTCTGCTCCTTCCAGGGCAGAGCCCCAGGGTGCCCTGCGTGGAGGTGGGCTCCCAGGGGCTGTGCGGCGACTGTGGGCCACAGCCCATTGTACATGCTGGCCCGGCCAGCCCCCCCGGGTCAGCCTCCAGATGGAGCCAGTTATTTGTCCCTTTCTTCCTGAATTACTTCCTCTAATACCTCATCAGGACATCCTGGGGCCTGTAAGAAACCATTAAACGTGGCAGGCCTCTGTTCTGCACGGGCATCCTTTCTCTACTGCCGCTTCAAACGTGCTGCGGATTTGGGCCAGTTTAAGGCTGTTTGATGCCTGCTGTCCGCCCGTCAGCTATCCACTGTACTTGCTCGGCTGGAGGCCGGCTTTGCGAGACAAGGCTGCTGAAGAATTTTGGCAGACAACCGCTGCTTGGCATCCTGAGCTCCATCCCCTACCTTCCTACCCTCTTTCTTCTCTCCCACCCCGACAGGCTTCCAGCAGGCTGCCCCATCTGTGATACCACCCAAGAAGCCCTGCTTAGTACCACAGGGCCCTCCCCCACCCCCCTGCACATGGACCACAGCCACCCCTTGAGTGCCAACCACACGAGGAACACAAGCAAGGGGTGCACACACACTGATGACGGGGAGGTGGGGAGCCTGGCTGCAAGTACTGCCACTGGCTCTGACATCCCTTCCCCTTTCTGAGTCTCGGGCTTTGCACCTACAAGGGTCACAGTACACGCTGGGATTCCCAAGGCTCTTCTCTGCCCGGGCACATCACACAGGTAAACTGGCAACACTCACTAACTAGCGTTTCCTGTCCTGCGTAACCCTGAGAAGCAAGCTGCTGCCTCTCGATTCCACGGCTAGTTCAGATCCCTGCAGCCCAAGGTGGGGAGAGGATTCTCTCGGGGCGCCCTGGTCCTCCCACCTCCAGCTCTCACCCCACCCTATCCAAGGAACCTCGGGGAACAGGAAGCGGAGAGACTGAGCACCTACAGGGTCAGGAAGAATCCAATAAACGTATAAGCTCCCTCGATTGCCAGCAACACAGGGGGCAGGAGTCCCTGGGTGAAACCCATGGTCCGTGTGCTCAGCAGCCAACTCAAAGGTCAGCAGTTTGAGTCCACCCAGAGACAGCTGGGAAGAAGGTCTGGAGATCTTCTTCCCCCAAGCCAGCCGTTGAAAACCGCATGGGGCAGAGTTCTGCTCTGACTCGTGGCCAGCCTGGACCATCAGCAGGCCAGGGCCAAACCGAGACCCTAGGTGTGCAGGGCTCCATCCTTTACCTGACCCTGACAGCTCTGCAGAGGGTGCCTCCGTGCTGTGCATGCTCCCTGTGCATGCCCTGGGGGCTGGCCTCCCCCATACGGACACCCCCACCCCTGCATCCCATCTTCTTGCCTGGGGATTACTCGGGGCCTCACTTGTCGCTAATGGTCCTCTCTCAGGCCTGGATCTTAACCCCGGCAACATGCAAATCCCTAGACAGTGCAGGGCAGCTGGTTTGAAGAAGAACCTCACTGCTATCAGGTTTGGCCACGTGCACTTGGGCAGGTCACGTGTTACCCTCCTCCAGGCATGCTGGCTGCCGGGGCCAAGCATGTGGCTTTGAGGCCGGGGAGGAAGTGTCTAACCTAATCTGATCTCTGAGCACAGGAAAGAGTGACGGTCTCACAGCCACCCAGCCACTGGTGCATGGATTGGGTCCAGGCACAGAGACGGCACAGAGCAAGTCAAGTTACCCTGGGTGCTAAGAAGTCACGTCCCTGCCACTGAAGACGCCTTTCTGCTGAAACCCAGCCCCCTCTCCCTCCACCGTGCCAGTCTCTGTGTGGACTCCGGGCTCAGCACCCGGGAAAGAAACGGGAAGGGAGCCTGAGCCGGGAGTCACACATGCAGGTGCATCTGGGCGTGGGCTGGGCTGCTTCCTTTCCGTCCTGACCCCGCTAGTCTAGTGGCCCTGCTGGTCCTCCCCAAAGCCCCTGGGGCTCGGGACTCGAGGATCGCCGAGACGATTGCCCTGATGAACGGAGACGGTGCTGGATTTCAAGCCCTGGACTCGGGATGCATAACCATTTCGGGGATGTCAGGACTCATTTGCGGTCTTTTAAAGATCTGTATCATTTCGGCAGCCCTGTCTGTTTGGCCAGAGCAAGGGAGCAACGAAACACTTATCAATAAGTGTCATCAGTCCGTCCCGTATGGTTATTTTCTGTCTCCCAGGTGTGTCATCCTTGACAATGAATGCAGGGGCTCTGTGGTGAACATCCCCCACATAAATGAGGGGTCAGAAATCTGGGGGAGCCGAGTGGGGAGTGCGTGAGGAAAGCCTTCTCAGGCCCCCTGGTCTCTGAACAATAAGCCGCACCTTCAACGACATGAGTCTGTCCTGAGTCTGTCCGGAAGACTGGGCGGACAAGCTGAGCTCTTTCCCCCGTACAGAGCGCACAGCCAGCCAGACACGGAACTCTGGGAGACACAAGAGACACAGGTGCACGGGGCTCTCGGTGGCGTCGTTCAGGGTCTCCAGCCTACGGGCGGATACTCAAAATGTCGTGTCGCAGCAGCTTGTGATACGATCCAGTCACCAAGATACACAGCATTCTGGTGCAGGCGACCCCATGGACCAGCCTTGCAGAGTGCAATGTGCCAAATGCGAAAAGACAGACGTGCCGGCCCCCGGCCATCAACCATCCCGAAGAAGCAAATGCAGAGACAGACAGAGGAGCAGTGTGACCAGGGGCGGGGCCTGGAGAGTGGGTGCGTGAGGGATACCCGCGTTCTCGGTTTTGGGGGGATGGAAAGGTTTGGACACTGTGGTGCACTGACTCCTGCCACTGAACGGCGCACTTCAAAGAGGAACAAAGAGATGACAAATTCCATGTCATGTGTACTTTGCTGTCAGGTGCACCGAGCCCACCTGTCGCTACAGCAGCCGCGTGTGGCCAAGCAGAGATGCCTTCTCTAACAGGACGGATGTCAGGGCTTTCTCCCTTGGAGCTGCTACCTGGGTTTGACCCAGTAACCTTCGATTAGAAGCTCAACACTTAACTGTTGTGCCACTCGGGCTCCTTAGAAATTAAAACCCACTGCCACGGAGTGGAGTCTGACTCATAGGGACCCCATAGAGGGCTTTATGGGAGCAGACAGCCTCGACGTTCTCCGGGGGAGCGGCAGGCGGGTTTGAACCGCTGACCTTGCGGTTCGCAGCCCAGTGCCTCACATGGTGTGGCCACGCTCGAAGTCTGGCCGCAGAGCATGGGCTCGAGGAGCCCCTTCCGCTCCCTGTCAGCTCTGGAGGAAGGCCTCACCTCGTCAGCTCCTGGGAGACACCCATGTGCCCTGACCGCCTCACGTGTGACTGCAGCAACAGGACGAAGCAGTGGGCGGGTGGGCAGACGTGGGTGCCAGGGTGGGAGTCCTCCTTTCCGGGTCCACAGGGCCCTGTGGATTGTCGCTGTGGCTCAGCCACTCTCCGTGACCCTGAGAATCCCTCCTCGGCGCTGAGCCTCGGGATGGAGAGGAAGCCAGGAGCCCGTCTGGGGGACAGCAGACATGCTTCCCCACGGAACTGTCATGAGCACCCCGGCCCCGGTGGTCTGGGCTCTCAGAGAAGCCCCGGCCTTCCCACACGTCACGAGGGGCGGGGGAGTCCGTGAAGCCCCCCCTCCCCCCAGGGGATGGCACCAGGGAGCTCAAGCTCAAACAGAAGTGGGCTTTACCACGGAGAGACCTGGGGGGCGGCTGACCAGGTGCGTTCAAAATTGGAACTCTCTCAGGTCTCCTGAAGGAAGATTTTCCTGGAAACTAGCAAGGAAGCGCTGCTCAAACGGTAAGCGTCTAACACTCGCACCTTTCCCTCCCTCTTGTATTCAAAGGAGCACCTGGAGCGCTCCTTTAGATAAGGCAAGGCTGGGCAAAGCAAACAGCTGGGACACCCAAATGACCTGCTCCGAAAGCTGCATCGGCAGTTAACTCTGAGAAAGCTGTTTGGGGTCCAGGAGGGGAAGAGGGGGACAGCCTATGTCTAAGCTCACAAGCATACCCCCCTTTCTCTATCAGCTAGGTCAGTGCGCACTCCCCGGCAAGCGCGGTGCCTGGTGTGGCCCGGTGGAAAGCAACGGTGAACTCCGAGTCAGCGCGCTTCGTGAGCGGCGGCCGTTAGGAAAAACCCGGTTGTTAGATTTATTTTGGGTTTCCCATGAGGAATTTAAGGTACGTGTGTGCACGTGCATTTATAACTCACACAGCCGCCCCTCTCTGGCTAATCACCCATGGTTGGGGACGCAGCCTCATCTGGAGACGACGTCCAGCAGAAATCCAAATCCCTTAGATTTGGGCGCCGAGGGCTTCCCAATGCTTCCCCAGGTCACCTCCTACTTACTTCTGGCTCCTTCCTCTTTCGCCTGGCTACTCTTTCTTGGCTCGACTTCTCAGTCCAAGGCAGTGGCCCGTCCACCCAAGGCCGAGCAGGGGGCAGACCAGGGCCACAGTTTCTACCATGGGCCTCCTGCTCCTCTGGAGCCGGTCAACGGCGACGTCCTTGTCACAGCGCGTTCCAGGATGGATCTGGTGGTCGTGTGTGTGCTTGACCACAGTTAGCTGTGCTCTGTTACTGACCTTTCACCTTGGACCACCCCCACCCCCACCCCCAAACCAGAACCTTTCTGAACGACGGCGTCAGGCGACCTGGGCCGAGCAGACAATGAATGCTCTTGGCTGCTAACTGAAAGGTGGAGGGTGGAGCTTGGCGGCGGTGCCTTGGAAGAGAGTCCTGGATGTCCACCTTCCAAAGATCCAGTCATGAGG